GTTCATCAAAAATAGCTAAAAAAAAAAAATAAATAAAAAAAAAAAAAATTAAAACAAATTAAAAAATATTTTCATATAATGAAAACCTCTTATAAAGAAAAGTATCCTGCAATGTGGTGAAAAAAGAAAAAATAAATAAAACAAAAAAATAATAATAATAATTAAAATAAAATTCGTTCTTAATCCACTTCAAAATTTTCTTGTGGCGAAATTGAAAAAGTTTGCTAATCTAAAGAAAAAATTTTGATAAATTTTTTTTTCCCTTTAATTTAATTTGCGACACCACACCAGGATACTACGATCAGGTAATAATTGTTACTATTAAAAACATTATCCTTATAAATGTTAAGACATAAGGACAACTTTTCAACCGATCAAAATTGAAATTTACCCAAGGTGAAATTTACGCAGGTGAAATGTTAATGTTTCCGTTACATTTTTGTGTTTCCTAAAATTACGTTGGACAGATTTTTGTTTCTCTTTTTCAAGATTGCATAATCGATCTAGAATCCCCCGATAAGTGGGGTAATGTTTTGTTAGCCAATCCATCCAGGCAGGCAAATTTTATATACTTGCAATGTAGGCTTCACAAAGTACACATATTCTCCACTTTACATTCTAAACAGGTCTGCATAAATTTTCGATTTTTTATAAGCTTTTTAAAGTGATCGAAAAAGTGGCTCCATCCGAACAAAAAAATTTTTAATAGTTTTCGTCCTTGATCCAAATCACGTTCGTGTACCAAATTTCTCCAAAAAATATGTCAATAATTTGCAACCCGTAGATTGAACAAAACAATACAGGACAGACAGACAAACTTAGATTGGTTATGAGTATGAGAAAAGAGTGTATCTCAAATCCATCCCCTTGCACTACAACGGATTTCAAAACTTGATCATTTAGACAATTTGTGTCTGTTTAGTTAAAATTATAACTTACTTTATAATTTCAAAAAGTCGAGAGGTTTTATTTATTTTGATCTATTCCTTAAATAATTATACTTACCTCCTGTATCACTTACCATTTGCGGGAAGGGCATAACACATTTGTGTAGATTTGTGTAACATCCGGAAGAACTTTAGATGGATTTATCTTTAATTAAGTCATCCGACTTAGAATCATTATACCCTATATCAGCTCTGGTTCAGAGTATATTGTGTTTGCGTGGCTGTACGTAAGACGTATAAGGGCTTATGGTAGACCGACCTTTTGTTCTATTGATTGTCCGTCTGTTCGTTTGATGTCTGTCCATATAAATTTGTGCCCAAGCTACAGGTCGCAATTTTTGGGATATTTCAATGAAATGTGGCACAATGACGTGCTTTGACCCAAAGACGATCGCCTCATTTTTTTGCATCGGTTCACTTTTTCGACCATCCCCCATGTAGCGCCTTATTTTGTAAAGTCGTAAAGATCTCTACAAAAGTGCTTAAATAATAGTGTTGTGGTGTGAAAGCTTTGGATCGGTTGTGGGAATATTTTAAAGCCTCTTTTATTCGGTTAGTTGAGGAAGTGCAAGCCTTACATGGTAAAAAAGTCGAATTTTGAATATTTCTTAGGGGAAATTAGCTGATAATAAATAAATTCCTCACCTCCGGACTACGTAGTTTTGTTTTTTGCATACCAGTGCATATAGGGATGCCCATGAAACGCAAACCCTTATATGCCAGAAAAGCCTAATTATTAATATATTTGTGATGAAAATTTGTTTAGGATGGTAGTTAAATAAAAAGATTAAGTGGATCTAGTTGAAATCACCTGGGTCCCAAATTGATGGGACTGGAATTGTTTTGTGAATTAAAATTGTGACTATAGCTTTGACCTTGAATTTTAATTTTCATCGATAAGGTTTTATCAATTTTATCGGTTCCTTGCTATCGCGTTTACATTTTGCCATAAATTACATCGTAACTCAAGCTGTTATAGAAATTCAATTCTCTAACCTAATTTGGCATCTCGTCATTGAATTGATTTACCTACGTGTATGTGTACAGATAGGACAAAACTTGAAATTGTATTATTGCCAGCATTTCTTTCTGGGGTTAAGAATAATAATAAAAATTAAAAAAGACATTTTTAAATAAAGTTTATTTAATTTTTATATTCGATCAATCGATCATCATTATGCAAATTTTAGACAACACCGTAAGAGGATCACAGTGGACGCAAAGTTTTTATACAAAATGTTTACTAAATTGATTGTATTGACAGCGGCAACAACAATAACGACAATAAAAAGCAGTGTCTGATCCGAACTCACTACTTAAATATGCTACAACATGCTTGATGAACTGCTTTAACGCTATGCATAGCAATATACGATCAGAGTAAATTAAAACGTGTACCAAAATAAATCCGTGCGTTAGCATTATAAATAATTTCCGAAACATTGCCACAAATGAACAAGATTAGAATGAATGATATAAGAAATAGAAGTTCGTGTTGGCCATTAATGTCGTAACGGAATTCCAATTTGTTTCTTCACCTGGCTTCTTCAACTCTTTCAAAATATATTTAAATCTAAATGAATCATTTACTGTTTTTACATAAATAAAAAAGAAAATGAAGCTATAAGCATATGGCACCTAAGGCATGTTTGCTTCATCATATAAGAAACTTTAGTTGAGCTGACTTTTTAACACTGCCGAGTGTTACGAGTTATTAAAAGCAATTCTCAAGTAGAAAAGTGGAAGGTACGGACGAATCGTCGATAGCTATGATACTCAAGCAAATTTTCTACATTTTTTTAACACTAAAAGATAATTACTGCGAAGTCTTATCCTTTGCACCTGTAATGCTTTTCCAAATGCTACTATATTGTAGTGTATATCGTATATTATATATGGAGGGTGTTTTACGAAATATTCTAAACCCCATTCAAAAGTATGTCTAAAAAACGATCTCTTTTTTTTTTTTTTTTTATCAACTTTTCTCAACAAATAATAAAAAGGGAAAAATTTTTCCAATGAGGAGTACCCGCTTAATAGGAGGAGTAAAATGATCCGATTCATTTTATATAGTGTTCGTCCTTAGTTCAAAACATGTGCCAAACTTCAATCAAAGTGTATTGAATTTTTCCACCTAGGCACGTTGAATAAAATATCGGTCAAGCTGAAGTCCTTTTGATTGTTGCATACATCGTTACAAACTTAATATGCAGGTGGATATATGCAAAGAAACTTATTTATTTTTATTTTTTTTACTTGTCACATATAGACAAACATGAAAATCTTATGTTATTCAAGAATATATAGTTTGCATGGTCCATTAGACAATAAGCTATACTTTGACATTCGAGCCGTAATACGAAAATACTTAATAACGAGAAAAATTTGTTATTCATTAAATTATTGAATTTTAGCTTGAAGAAATATGCGGACATCTTTGCCTGGCATTGAGCTTTGTCAACCTTAACTTTGATCACCCAAGTCTTGATTAAAAAAAAAGTTGATTTCTTTTCCAACTACCATAGAGCACCGCGATTGCGATCCCAACAAGAACAACAAAATATATAAAAAAAAAAAAAAATGGAAATAATAAAAGAGTTCGACACACATTCGTATATGACTGTAAGAATGTGTGTTTTTATGGTTAATTCACTTTCAAGAACACACAGACACAAACACATTGCTAATCGAAGAGTACGTTTACGATTTAAGCGTTTAAAGGCCAACTAGTCGATTGGTTAGCTATTCGGTTATTCACTTATACACTTCGTTCATGTGCGAGTGGAGTAGGTTAAGAGATATACGTAGAATATGTTTAGACAGGTTCTTGATGACCCAATTTGAAGGAGCAACAAACAAACAAACAACAAACTGCTCGCTAATCGTTATAAAGCAATTGCGTCTGTCAAGATTCAATGCTATTGTTGATGTTGAAAAAAGTGCTTAAAAGTCGTCTTAATTGTCATAAATACATGGAGTAAATTGTTTTTTGAATTATGACTATGTTCCTTTATAATTGAATCATTAATATGCATGTGTACGGAAAATGTAATTTCTTATTATTATTATTATTATTATTATTATTATTATAAATTTAGCCGGAGAATAAATTCTAAGACTAAGTCTTAAAGCACTAGCATCTAAGGCTTTCAGCTTTTATTAAAAACTCTCCCGCACTTGAGATTTGAACCCACGACCATTGGAGAGTTGCTAGTCGAGACTCTTGCCTACTCGGCCACTCAGACGGCTGTAATTTCTTATTTAATATAAATGCAGGTGCAGTGAGTCTCACTAATATTGGGTTTTTTCGTAAAGAAAGTGCGGGCAAATTTGGCATCTTGGAAACATTCGATTTCTATCTACCAAGATAACGAACGCAAGCCCAAGTCCGAGAATGACTCTTATATAACTGCCGCCAAGTGCGCATCCTCTTCCCCAATTATCACCAGGCATTAACCCTGTCAAAACATTCAATCTCTTCCGTCCGAGATTTGAAAAATAGACTACAAGAAGAACGGAGTAAGATCCCTGATCTCTGTTTCCTCCACTAGGAAATTTATAAAAAAATATGTCAGAATGAAAGGATACCCCATCAAACATTAATTTTTAATAATAGTTTGTTTTTTTCTTCGTTCCTTCTTTACACGAAAAACAACCCGATGCCATAAGTTGTTGAAGTTATTTGTTATTTGTCTTTTCTACTGGAAAATAGTATAAAAAATTTTTACGTTTGGACAATGGATTAGGTTTAACAAGCGTTTACCTCTTTATCGAGCGAAAAAGCCCAATGCTAATGAGACTGAACGCACTGCGTATGTATGCGTGAATTTCTGAAATAAATTCTTTTTCATAATTAATTTTCTTTCGTTTTCTTTGTGGCATTTCTAATTAAACATAAACGACGGTTTCCTGATGAAAAACGATATTTATAAATATTTTTGTAGTAAAATGTATTACATTATATACGCGTGATCAAGCGCATATGCGCGTATGTATGTAAATTTCAAAATTTTTGCTTATATTTGTTGACTGACATGATTATCTTGTTAAGGTCTGTTTACTGAAGCTTACAAAGCAGAAGCATGCACGCATATGAAATGAGATAACACCCGACAATAGGACGACCATAAAATGATTAATAGGAAAGTTCCCATCTGGCATAACAATGTAAAAAAAATAGCTATCTACACAGATATTGCATTTAATTTGAAAATTTCTCTTAAAAGTTCTCCTCTCGCATGTGAAGTGAACATAGGCTCATTACCGACTTAATTCGAATTCTAATGGCAACCATTAATAACACATCGTAAATTCATCCGCTGTCTCGCAGCTAATTATGCATATAAATAACAAAGTTATATACGACCTCGATACACTCTTCGATACTTCTTTTCGGTGCATAGTTTTGGTTAATCGTGATCGAATGACTCGATAAACAGTTCGAGTCCATTGAAAGTTGCTCCTAATAAAATTTGCTTAATAAAATTTTTGAAAAATTCTATCGTCTGCTATAGGCGTGTTGTTGGCATGTACATAGATTGAAATATTAGAAATTGTATTACTTTTAAAAGAGACTGATCAGTAAAGTTGACTTTCTTCTAAGCAACGACTTTATTCCAAAAAAGCCCACATTTCCAAGTCACAGCAAGAATACGATTTCGATGAAAACCTTTGCTTATCTGTTTTGAATATTTAAGAGATTACTTTAGACGATAGAGAACACGCTAAAAATTTAAACAAGGCAGAATTACCCGAACAAGTAACAAATCACAACATTGTCGAAACATTATTCAAATTAAATTGCAGTTCGAGGTGATCCCTCTTGCACGCAATAACATGGACGTAAGGTAAATTTTTGCTAGGAGCGCACACATATCCTTGCTCAGGTAAGATATTGCGAAGACCCTCAATGACTTTGCGTATCAACTTAGATGAGATGTACGACAGCGAACATATTAGATCCAGTTACTCAGTCGCCCCAGTTCCCCAAGTCAAAATTGTCAAAGGCATTCGAACATTGACGAATTGAAGTAAGTAATTTTTTAGTCACACATTCTCGTCCCCTTCAACTTTCAGTTGTTCTCAATTGCCAAGCAAATTTTACACGTTTCAGCCGCGTTCGATGATTTTATTAGAATTTTGAAAGAAGTTCGCTTCAAAGATAGGTTAAATGTTAATTTAAGCCTCACACAATATTGTACTGTTCGATTAGATGTGCGATTAAAGAAGATTATGTTAACTACACTTTAGGATTACATTTTAGGTTGTTCCGATATTTTATATATAATATATATTTTTTTATAGCATGGCGCCGAACGTTGTTGGCAGCACATTTATATTGGCTGAAACGGCGCTTACTGATACCAATAATAACAACAAAGTCACCTCTTCGCCACCGACGCCACCCAACGATCTCCTACCACCGACAGTCAATTCAAAGAGATTTGATCTATCAAGCGATGAGGTTAGTACCAGAGAAAAGGAGCATTTAAAAAAGCCCTATAAAGTGGAAATTGTATGGAGAAACGTGATTGCTTTCATTATTTTACACACCGGGGCGTTCTACGGTCTCTATTTAGTATTTGCCGAATTAGCAATTTTGGAATTTCTTTTCGGTAAACAAACACACATCATATCATTTATGCAGTTACAAGTGTAAGGAATAATTTTTTTATTTGTTTTCTTTCTTTTTTAGGTTACTTTTTGACATTCTTAGGGGGCATAGGTATAACGGGCGGTGCTCATCGTTTATGGGCTCATCGCTCCTACAAGGCTAAATTGCCTTTGCGTATAATCTTAATGGTCTTTGATACTTTGGCATTCCAAGACAGCATTTATGTTTGGGCTCGGGATCATCGCGTACATCATAAATTCACTGACACCAATGCGGATCCGTATAGTTCGCGACGTGGATTTTTCTTCTCGCATATGGGTTGGTTAATGTGCCGAAAACATCCCGATGTCGTAGAAAAGGGAAAACTGATTGATTTAAGCGATTTGGAGGCCGATCCAGTGATAAGATTCCAAAGAAAGTGAGTTTTTCTTAAACGCAGTTTAAATAGGTTTTGCTTGTTGTTTTTTGTTTTGTCTCTACAACAAACCTGTTATCGCTTAGATACTTTGTGATGCTTATGCCGCTTTTTTGTTTCGTATTGCCGGCAATTATTCCATATTTGGCTTGGGGAGCTCCGTTGATGCGGAGTTTCTTTATATGTAGTGTGTTGCGCTACACAATATCTTTACACGGAACTTGGACTGTAAATAGTATCGCCCATATTTATGGCACGAAACCGTACGATAAGAATATCAGTCCGGTTGAAAGTAAGCTGGTATCGATTGTAGCACTCGGCGAAGGCTGGCATAATTATCATCACATATTTCCGTGGGATTACAAGGCGGCCGAACTAGGCCGTTATCCTAATGTAACTGTCACTATATTGAATCTATTAGCGAAAATCGGTAAGCTATCGTCCTTTTAGATGCGTACAATTCTTTTATAAATTTTTTTTTTCTTTTTTTTTTGTTTTTTGCAATGTAGGTCAAGCGTATGATATGAAAACCGTGTCGAGGGAAATGATACTTCGACGTACTAAACGTACTGGCGATGGTAGTTATCCGTTCGTTCTTAAGGATTTAAATAATAATGAGCCTGAAACGACTAATGTACCCGCAGATATGTTATCGCAATTGGATCATGAAAAAGAAAAAGTTTTTATTTGGGGTTGGGACGATAAGGATATAAGCGAAGATGATCGCAATTTAGTTCACATTTTAGATAAAAAGGATATTTAATGAGAAGAAAAGAGTAAATATCAATAATTCATTAATTTAGTATTACATACATACATACACATATAATATAATGCGAAATCACATACTATTACATATATATATATATATATATATAACATAAATATCATAGGTTTCATGCGGCAAATGCCAATTAAAGATTCACTTGGAAACGTTTACCTTAATTTTATGAAATTTTTGTGCATAATTTTCACGCAAATTCTTGGTTGAACAGTTTCACTTATCATTGTAGTTGTAAGCAAGAAAATCGCTAATAAAAAAAAATCTCGTTTATGAAGAGGAAATGATCGGTCAATTTATTTCTTGCTGAGATCAACAATCTCTCTATCTCTATCTCTATCTCTCTCCTTCTCTCTCTCTCTCTCTCTCTCCTTCTCTCACTCTCCTTGTTATATTAAGGATATATAGTTAAAAAAGTAAATAAATAGTATTTGGCTGAGGAAATTTTTTTTCTTTTTGTGACTGAATAAAAAAATAAATAAATAAATAAAAATAAAACAAAATTCGCTTATATCGAAAATGTAAGTTTGAATTTTATTAACACAAAAGGAAAGCCTTAATAACGGTGCACACCGGCACTGTTGTTAACGCCATAATTGTAATTGATATGTTGCTGGTCATCTTGCAAATTGACCTGTGTACGAGCCGCGTATATTAGAGCGGCAACGAAAGCAGCATTATTCAGAATCATTGAAGTGAAAGTGGCCAGCTTAAGCGTCGGCAGTATAAATGGCAAAAATGTACCCATTAAAATAGCTGGCAATAGCTTCAAATAGTTATCGGAGAATGAATGATGATGAGAAAAATGTAAGTTATTCTTGTCTTTCGCAATGCATTTGCATTGCATTAAACGAATTAAAATAGAAGCTTACCATGACAGGTAATGCCATCTGTAGGATGGCATGCTTAAATGATGATTTCTTTTTTAGTTTCTTCAGCTTTTTCATTTTTTTCAATTTTTTCAGTTTTTCCATTTTCTGATTTTTTTTACCATCGATTTCCAATTCGTCGAAAACATCGGGATCTTCTGTGTCTAAATTTAAGCCAGTTCCACTTAATAGTTCACTTAAACCGCCTGAGTTTTTTTTGCCGCGAGCACTTTCAGATCGACGGTGATAGTTGATGATGGACTCTGCGGGATGAGAATAGTATTTGGTTTCGATTTTATTATTTTTTTTTCTTTCTTTTTTTGCAATAATTAAAGGAAAATACTTTTCTTAAGAGTTAGTTTTAATTTGTTTTCCGGACTCGGTATAATTTTCACCATAAGGCCGGGTAAGAAGCGCAATTTAATGTTACGGTTCTTGAAAAACTTTTGCAAATTTATCATCAAATGTTTATTTAACTCTTTATCGGTCATTTGACGGAAACGTTCGCTAACTAAGCTGCCCATTGCGTCTTCGTTACCAAAGAATTGATCGAGAAAATCTTTGGTCAGATTGCCGGTGTGAGGCCAGTTTTTGCGTTCTTCCATTTTCTGCAATACAAACAGTTTAGTACACCGCATAGCAGTAAAATCACGCAAGCATTCAAAAATACGCATTGGAATTGAAGCCCGAAAGTATGGTAGCAACACGTCGATCGTTTCATTTCTTTTAGCGTAAGGTCTTTGCAATAATTTACTGTCGCTAGATAGCGCCGTTAGTTGTCGCTGTTCTTTTTGTTGTTGTTGTTGTTGTTGTTGTTGTTGTTGCGAGTATGGGTTTGAGGGCTCACTAACTACGCCAGCGACAACGATAGCGTATAGTGTATAGAAACAAATAAGTTCCACAAACGTGGTTTGCATTTTGCGCATGCGGTTGAAAATTTATAAACTTGGAAAAGGAAAACAAAAAGCAAAAACAACAAAAAAAAAAAAAAACGCGAAATAAAATCTTTCTTAATTAATTAATTTCTTTGTAAAATTCTGTCCAACAGAAGGTAGGAAACAAACCAGCGCGTATTTTTTGCAACTGTTCGCAACAGTGTTTTGTACGCTACTAAAAGAAAAACACTTCAGTTTCAATTTAATTTCCACT